GCATGCTTTACTCCATACCAACATTCCCAAACTGCTTTCATCAATGTCATCAATAACTTCTACAGCACTATATCAAATGGCCAATTCTTAGTGCTCACTATCAGTGCATTTAGCACAGCTAAACAATTTCTCATTTGGGGTAATACTTTGGTCACTTGGCTTCTGGGAAACTCTTGACCCTTCTGCTATAATATACCTTAGTGGCTACTACTTCTCTCATTTCTGGTACTACTTCTCTCATTTTCTTCATCTCATCTCCTCAATGTCTACATTTTGCAATGTCTGAATGCTCAGTCTTGAGAACCCTTCACTCGCTTATCTACATTTATCCCCTAGATTATCTCATTTGCCTCATAACTCTGTGAGCTGGTGACTCACAAATGTATACCTCTCCTCTGAACTCCAGACCTATTGTATATAACTGCCTATTCACCATCTCTAGCTGGATGTCCAATGCATGTAACAAAGCTAGTATGTCTGAATACTCACTCATTATTCACCTGATATCCCCCAAATACCTTCTCCTATAATCTTCCTCATCTCAGTAATAACCCCAGTCCTTAGTTCCTCAAGCCAAAAACCTTGGAGTCATTCTTCTTCTGATCCATCAGCAAATTACTTCAGCCTTCCTGAAAACATATCGAGAATCTAACCACTTTTCACCATCCCTATGCCACGTCTGCTCTTATCTGGATTATTACAGTAGCCTCCCAGCTGGTTGCCTTGCTTCTGCCCTGTCCTTTATTAAGCCTAGTCTATATTAATAGAGCAGCCAGAGTGGCCCTTTTCATAAGTCAGATCGTACTTCTCCTGGTCAAAATACCTCAATGTCTTCTTCTGTGTTGCCTGCAGAAAGAAATCTGAAACTCTGTAGCACATGACCCTCTGCTCCCCTCTGACTGGATTTTCTATCAGTCTCCTGTTTCATCACTGGGAATTGAGTTCTTTGTTCTTCCTCAGGGGCTTTATACTTGTTTCAACTTCAGGACATTTAAATTTCCTATTTCTTCTGCCTGAAAACTTCTTCTTCCACATATATACATGGATCTTCCCTTTACTTCCTTCAGATTTCTGCTCAAATGTTAACTAATCAGGAAGAACTTCCTTAACCACTGTATATAAAACAACATCTTTCCCCATCCCTGTCCTCTCAACATGCCCTATTATGTTTACTCTGCATTCTTTTTCTCCATGACAACCCTTGCTATCTGACATCTTATGTATTTTCTTATATATTTATTTATTGTCTATTTTCCTGCCACTATACTGAAGCCTCAACAAAGGCAAGCATTTTGTTTAGTTTGTTCACTGCTGTTTTTCTAGCACGAGAACAGTGTCTGGCAGATAGTATATATTCAATAAATATATTGAGAGGTTTCAGAAATGAATAATAGATCCTATCCTTCAAGCCCGGATTATTATTACTGATTATTCTGAGAGAAAACCCCACTGGCCAGTATGAGTTATTAATACTTCAGTGTAATTTATGTCAAATTACCTATAATTTATGGCTAAAATTACCTAAGGAAATGGGAACAGGTTGGAATCAGGACATCTGGTCTCTAGTCCTATGACTGTCTTTAACCTACTCTGTTTCTGTAAACAAATGCTTTTTGTCTAGATTTCGTCATGTGTAAAATGACATTGTTGGACTAGATTGGTAGTTCTTAGCTTAGGATGTAGGGCCTCCTCACCAGCCCACAATGGGCTTCAGGGGATCTGAGCATCTCCTATTATTATATGCAAAATTTTGAGGCTGTGTGCACATGCGTACATTTTTTTTTTTCCAGATGAGAGAAAGATCTGTGAAACTGAAATGGAGTAGATGTTCTTAAGATTTCTTTTAGTCCTAACTTCATATGACTCTAAATTTAGAAAGGGGGTGACAGAAAGCAGCCTGATACTGCTGCACAGCCAGAAGGCAGTCTTAGTTTTGCTACATCCTGAGCAACTCACTCCTTTCTCACACTTTGCTTTTTATTACCTGTAAAATGGAGGCATTGGATAAGATGATCCAAAATAATACCTTCCCATTCTACATTCAGTTCAACCAAACAAGACCAAAACAAACAAACAAACTCTTTTAATATGCTTGGGAATTCAGACTGTTTCTGCTGGATCTTCAGAAGTCAGAATCCCAGAGGTGCTACTGTTCTAAGAGCACTTTGAGAGGTAAGAAAGAGGGTGGGAATCAGGTATGGGCAAAAGAGCAAGACCCTGTCTCTAAGAGAGGGTTTGGAGGAGGTAGTTCCCGCATGAGACTCTAGCTGAGGGACTCAGAAAACTTCTCAAATACAGAAGATTGTCTTTTTAATTTTTTTATTTTATATCAAAATATTAAGGGGCTACAAATGTTTTTGTTACATAGATAGCTTTTATAATGCTTTAGTCAGGGCTGTAAGTGTGCCCATCACCCGAATAGTGTTCATTGTACCTGTTAGGTAGGTTTTTACCCCTCCCCTCCAATCCCTTCTTGATTTCCAGCAATTTTTACGTCTTCCTGTGCCCATTGGAAAATTAAGTCTTAAGGGTGAATGGAAATGGAAAGGAAAAAGCACTTCATGACTGCCCCAGAAATGACTTGGGATCTGATTTCTTAAATGTTTAATGCCATAAATCTTGAATTAATTATTAAAAAGTTCTCTTTACAGCATTGGATATTTTTTTAAGGCCAAATGGATGTGCAGTCTAATACTACCTTGTTATTCTACTTTTCTCATTATGATCTAAATAACATTTTGCTATTGAGGAAATGAATTTGTCACACAACATGCATAACTTTGATTTGTTCTACTCTTCTCCCAGCTGTCTCCCTCCCTCCCCCCTCCCATTACCCCATCACCTCCTCTTGTTAGGACTTGCTATTTTTCTCTTTATAAGTGTGTCCTGTTTGCTCCGGAAAAAAAAATTCATAACTAGGTTCTAAGATCACACACAGCAATAATAGGAAGTTGTTGGTAAGCCTCTCCTTCCCCAAATATAATGCAGGTCTGGGGACAACAGTGTGGAAGGTGGAAGGTGGAGCCCAGTAATCCCATCATTCTTTCATTCAGTGCCTACTGCATGTCAGTCCCTATGTTAAACACTTAAAGTCAGATTAGACACACTCTCTATTCTACATTCCGAGTCACCACAAACAGAGCTGAATGCCATCACTCGGGGGATTTCCACTGGAATGTACTCATGTCCGGTGTTTCCCTCCTTTGTCCCTGAAAGTGGGTGGGTGTAATGACGACAAGGAAAGTGTCTTTGACCAGTAAACAAGTTGTCGTCATTACTCCCGTGGAGGAATGGGACTGAATGGGGCATTTTTTTCTAGCCTGGCCCAAACTCGGCTGTGCCTCGAGGGTCCATTAGCCTGCAGGTCACAGCAGCTGGAGCCCAGGCGCCCAGAGCCGGTCACGCGTCTGTGCTGCCCGCTCCGGGATACACAATGGAGTCATTGACTATTCATTTACTTGGTACAACAAGGCTGCTGTTGACTTAGTGACGAGAGCCTCCCAGCCACCCCGGGGATGTTTAAACGACTAAGTGACTCTCCATTGCCATTAACTCATCTCTCTTTAACCTTAGTCCGGAGTCTCCCCCACCCGGGAGGGCGTAGTAGGCGTGTTGGGGGCGCAGAGGATCCGGGTGTTGACCAAGAGTGTAAAGACTGGAGGTTTTTGTAGGACTGAATTTCTGTGTGTTTTAGAGCTAGTCTGAGTGGAGGGTGGCACTGCTGCGCCAGGGGCGGGTGAGGGCTTAACTCTAGGACGGCTGCAGGCAAGGAGGCAGCAAAAGGACAAATGCTCTTCTCCAGCCCAGACAACTTGGTCCTTTGGGACTGAAAGCCTCTCTGACTTGCGGGCTTTCGGAATTGGAGATTGTAGTGCCGCTAGAAATTGGGGCTACTCCGGGGCTCTGCGGAGCCACAGGATCCCACCTGGCCCCTTCCTTACACAGCCAGTTTGAAAACTGTTTCCAGAGCCCAGCGCTCCCGGCCTGTTCCCGCTCAGCCTCACTTAAATCTCCTCGCGAATCGTAGTTCTCCAGCTTCCTCTGGGGAGACTGCCACGTCTCTACTCCAGTTAATATTGCAGGGCTGAGGATAAAATAGCAACGGTATTGAATAGATGTTGACTTTTCCGACCCAAAGGAGCGGAAATAGGGGATTGTTTGCAGAAGCTAATCGTTTCCACAGAGAAGCAGGGAGAGACTGGTGCACTCGCCGCCTTCAGCCTCTCCCTGGGAGCTAAGCCGCGAGAATACTCTGGGACTCTGGCGCCCCTCCCATCTCTAGCGGTTTAAAAAGTCCTCTGGAGAATTCAGACGGGTGGCCATCAAACCAGGGAGGCTCCCCAGGCTCCTTTCTCAAACCTTTGAGTCTGCGACCTCAGGTTCGGCGCCTGCCAGATCTCGAATCCAACTTCTTTGGGCAATGTGCATGTGTTGAGTGCTCAGGGACTTGGGCGGAGGGGGAGGTCTGCTATTAAGGCGCCAGACATACCCAGAGACGGCCCGCCAACTCTCTGACACTCAGGGAAAGTCCATTTGCATGCATCTGTTCTGTGCCAAGGATGCACGGAGCAGGGCGCTGACTCCCTGTAAGGGAGTACTGGCACGTTCGTTGCGTGCACTGGAGGTGGGGTGAGAGGGGCGCAGATCAAGATCTTTTCCGCAAACCTCAAAGGAAAATGGCAGTAGTTGGACTAAGAGGGCCACTTTAGAGACTACCAGCTGCTCCCCAAACCCTAGCAGCGGAGAAGCTTCGTTGCTGTGGTTTCGGAGAGGTATAAAAGCCAACACTCCGAACCAAACGTACTTGGGCTCTTTATACGTGTTGTCACCATCCAAGGCCAGGCAAATTCCTTAGCGTTCTGCATCACTCACTCCCTGACAGAGCATCTCAGTCTCAGACCCTCCATCCCAGGAGGCGGGTGTGCGGGCAGGGGGTGAACTCCCAGCCGGGGTAGGGGCTCGGGGTGGTCCATAACGTCCAAGTCTGGCGACACCCGGAATTGTCTCACTCTAGCTGTTGAAACCCAAGGGCGGGAGATGCGGCCGGGTGGCCGCGGTGGTCAAGAGCGGGCAGGGACCGCGGGGAAAGGAGCGCGGCGCCTTTAAAGGAAGAGGCGAGGAACCCCCGCCAGGAGGCGTGTCTGTCTCCGCAGCCGCCGCTGCTGCTCCACGGTCACCGTCTTCGCCGCCGCCGTCACTCGCGCTCTGCGCCGGCGGCTGCGCTGCTTGGTCTGGGAGCGGGGGACTTTCCGCCCGACCTCCTCGGGCTGCTCCTCCCCGAGGACCACCCCACCCCCTCCCCGCCCACCTCACCCTCAGTGCCAGGTAAGCACTCCCCGGTGGTGGGCTCCACTCCCGGCTCCTTCCCGAGGTGTTTGTTTTCACGAGGACGGGAGGGATTGCGGGTGGGCGAGGGGCATTTTCCGCCTGGAAAGAAGGAAGAAGGCGAACAGCAGCGCGGCAGAGCTGGGTGCGCGCGGGGTACCCGCTGGACTGATTCACTGAGAGTGTCTTTGTCCCGCTTGTCTCAGCTAATTCCCATCAAGGATGCAAGTGTCTCTGTTGGCTGCAGGCACTCGTGCTCTTCACAAAAAATAATTTAATAAGTGGACGTGTCAGGAAGTGGCCTCAGCTACGGGGACTCAGGCAAGGCGAAGAGAATGAGACAGATGGCAAGAAGCTGTGTGACTGCCTGCGGGTCTGACAAACTCCCCATCTTTCCGTCTGTCCACCCATCCATCCATTAACCCTGCTCCTTAGCTCTGTGCTGAGGAAGTACAGACATTTGTTTTAACAGGCGCCAGTATTAAGAGCTTTGGAAAAAACTTGGAGGGCGTCCCATTAGAGTAAGGAGGGTGCAGTGTCACCAGGGTGGATCACAAACGTCAAGAACTTTTAAAGAACAGCATCCCCTGATATTTTTACCTTTAAGGAGACAGAGTTTCTTTGCCAAACAGCACTACCGAACTGAGACTCCTTAGTCAATGATTTCCAATTTAGGGAATAGGGAATATTAGAAAACTTACTACTGCTATCATTTTGGTAATGCAGATTATCTTCTATCGCTTCTTCATCTCCATACTGTAAGTATTCTGTTATGAGAAATTATCTTATGAATTAATGATTATTTTCATTTCACAAGAGATGATCGATTCATTTGAATCTTAATTAGTCTTAGTTTAGTTGCTGGAAGATATGCAATTGTATTTCAATGTCGATTTGTCTTAGTTCATTATCTTATAACTTTTTATAGAGCCTATTCCTGTAACCACCAAGGCAGCTTAACAATTTCTTCCCAGTGGCCTTAGAAACTTTTGAATTAAATGAACAAAAAAATTGAAATGCACAGGAGCAAGGCGATAGAGAAATTAGTGATGCCTAGAAGTCTTACCTGTTTGTTTTTTCTATTTAAACCCCTTGAAGATTGCACAGGCTGAAATTAAAAAATAAAAATAAAAAAGGTTCCAGGACGTGTAAATCTATTCCAATTCAATTTCTTAATTAAGATACACTTCTTTTCAGCATCTAAAAATTAATTAAAACTCTAAATGTCATTAATCATCAATGTAGCAGAATGTTGGTGGAGCAGCTGACAATGTGTTTAGAATCACGAGGAATAGATAGCATAGCATTCATAGTTAGGAAGAGTGAGTTGCAAGTATGCAACAGTGTGATTTCAACTGATCTCAGTCCTGACTTCATTCTCTGGGACCTTTAATACCATGGATGAGCAGACTGTTTATTTTAGCTAAGCTGAAATACAACAGGCCACTTGTATGGAAGGATGGGTTAGGTATTACTGTAAACTGAGGTTTCTCAAATGTCACATAACAGCAGGACTTCTGTGACAAATCAAGTGGAATCCCTAATAAAATTCCATGGGAAAAAATTAAATATAGATATGGCATGGAAGAACCTTTGAAATACCTTTGAAATTCAGGTTGTTCCAGAATATATATTTGCTGTTTCTAGCAAAAGGTATATGCATTGTCATTTTAAATGTTGTGCTATAAGGATTATTACACATTTGTTCATGCCCCAGCAGGTGGCAGCTAACTAGAATAAGATTCATTTTCACTGGGAGAATAGGAAACTAAAATTGCTTCTCAAGTAATACTGCCCAAGAATAAGAGGTCATTAGTGTCAGCAAATATAAAAATATAGTGAAAGATGAAGCTAATGGCTTTTTGTTGTTGTTCATGTTGTTGGAACAAGCTTTGCATGAACGTGATACACATTTGGTTCTTTGTTGATTTATTATAGGCTTGGTATTTCTTCACATCAATCTTTTCTGGTTTTTTTTTTTTTTTTGAGGTTTAGTTTTAAACACAGCTTCTCTCTGTGTGTGCATATATGTGTATGTTTGTAGTTTGTCATCTCTGCTTTGACCTTGGAACCTACAGAGCTTTGGCTCCTAGAAATAAAGGTTGCCATATGGTTACAATGAGAAAAAAACACAAATGAGACCATAGAATAAAGTATATAAATCTCACTATTACAAAATATATGTGACCAGCTGACACCCAAGAGTGGTATTTGCTTTTCTTTTGAGAAAGGAGCAAATTACAGAATTGACACAATTTTATAAAGAGATTTAAATCTGGTCAGTGAAATACTGTATACTGACTTTATTAATCCTTATACAGCCTCAAACTATTATATATGCTATCAATATTGGGGAGAAACTTGCAATAACTTCAAAATCGCCGTATAATAAGGCATCTTTTATACCACCAAATCACCAAATCATTTTACTGTGGTATTGGGGAGGCAAGCAAATTTAGTGGGTTTTTTTTGTTTTTTTTTTTTTTTTGTCCTGGGGAGTGAGTGAAGTTTAATGAGAAAGAAAGAAAATTAATCTAATTACCCTTGTAACAGATGGAAATCTGGAGGTGGAGAATTGAAAGTGATAACTAATTGTACATTTTAAAAATGCCTTTAGCCACAGAATATTGACAGCATGTTATTCATATTTGAAATTCTGAATTATGGTCTTTCAGGCATTTTTTGTACTGAGAAACAAGTAGTTTAGTACCCATGAAGAAACTCAGTTAATGTAAGTGGCTTTTAGTAGTATGCCCTGGAAAGGAATGATTATTAGTATATCCTGAGTACGTTAAGCAACCTCAGCTAGTGGCACTGAAAAATACACACAATACGGTTGATAAAATCGTCCTCTTGACAATGTGAACAATGCAATAATTCAAATGCCCTGACTCTGTGTAGTAGAAATATTCGCATTGTCTCTCCAATGGCATATTACCCATTCATTGTACTACTTTCAATGTACTACTCTAGAATAAATCGATGCCTGGAGCGCTGTCCGCGGTCCTGAAGAAAGGTTGTCTTCAGTCTTGCAGAAGTTTAATAGGACAGGTGGAGTTGCTGAACGTTGTGTAAAAGCCTTTCAACTTAGTTGATGTATGTAAATGAACCTAATTTAGCATACGTGCAAAATTAGTTCTTTGGGACCAATTAATAGTAAGAAAAAATTACGCTATACTTTTTACTGTTTAATTTATTGTGTAAGAACTTCATGAATCTGGAAGCTTGATCTTTCACTCTTCCAACTAGACATCCAATAAATAACCCCACAAAAACTAAATAGTTTAGAATGCTAGTTTTAAGTAGGTAAGTTAAAACTGTAGTGTCAAATGTCATTATGTTAACAGAATACATGAACAGGGAGATATGGTACATTTTGTTTTCTCAAGTTCGATTAAATGCCAGCTACACTGCAAAATTGCAGTATTTTGATTAGTCACAACAGAACATGCTATTTTCAGGTAGTTATCAATTATATTGACAAATGAAAATACTAAGAGTTACCATTGCCTTAGCAGTCATTATTATCTCTGCTAGGATTAAAAAGAAAATGAGCAAATAGAATGGAATAAATGAGACAGCAAATACAAGACAGAACATGTTGGGCCATACATATTTTATACGGGATATTTTAAACATGGACTGAAGGAGTCGCTAGATACCCTTGGTTTTACCATTAGGTGTTCCTTTTAAAGTGCTCCAATAGTCAAATTATTTGATTGAATTGCTTTGCTAGACTGCAGAACTACACATTCATGATACTTATTTTTGACACTGCAGTTATGCCTCCATCTTTTAAAAATTGCCACTTAATTCCCTTGCAAAATGCAGATTTCTTTTCAAATCAGCATTTTATAATATCTTAAGAAAACATAGATTAAAAATCACTATGAGGAAATGAAAACATTATGTTGTTTTCTTGCTATTTTGGGGAAACATAGTAAGACCTAAATGTGCTCATATCACTTCTTAATAAAAAATTAGTCTTCAAATAGGACATGATCTTATGTTTTTTCATAAAGTTTAACCTATGTCCTGTTAGTTGGTTATAAAAAAGAGATTAATTGTAAGATATAGGTCCAACAGTTTTCCATTTGTGCTGTTTGATCATTTTAAAATATTAACTGATATATTTATTATCCATGTTAGTTTCACTTAATATAAAATATTAGCATTTGATATTTTTAATCTATGGACCGCATATTACCTATTTTGACAATAAAATGTATTTTATGTTAAAATTTATTTCTGTAATTTTTTCTTGAATAAATTCCTGCTTGTGAAAGCCAAGAGTGTGACTACCTAGGATCTCTAAATATTTCTGCCAGAAATCTAGAAAATGGTAAGATCTTTCTAGACAAAGCTATGACACTCAGTGTTGCTCAAGCTATGATCCCATATTCTACCTCTTAAAGAAAAAAAAGTTCAAAGAACCAAAATGAGAAGAAATTCTGGGCATAAATTTTTGAAGCCTTGGGAATTTGCTGCACCAATTCAAACATCATTGTTTTTTATATATGTACAATTATTTTAGATGAGCTAAAAATGGGTGGGAAAATATGATTCCTTCATTTTAGTTCAATTTCCCCCCCAAAAGTCCACTTGAAGACATTTCTCTTTACTCCTAGGTAGTAATCAAGGAATACCCTATTCAAGTTTTTAAAGACTAGGTTTACCTCTCTAATTGCATTCCAATCTATATTCATTCCTGGCCTAAATTATAATAAAAAGTATAAATAAGATTCTCTTTCAACCTAGCCACAAGTTAGATTTGCCGTAAATTCCTCCGTCTTAGATCATTTCCTTTTTTTTTTAACAGTTCCCAGGCAAAGTGACTTTGATTTAGCTAGTCATTTATTAAAATCATCAGTTGATTGTAAGAAGCCTGCTTGCATACACCAGTCATTCTCTTAGTAAAGACTCTTGTTGAAAATAAAAGCAATTTTCTCACGTAAATAAATTCGACTTCTTTCTTGCAACTCAAGGAGGGCTATCAGATCAGTTGCATAATAGATATTGGGAAGCTCACTGGCAGGGATCCTTAAGAGGCAAGCAGCTATCTCAATTTTTCTCACTTAATCTTGGCTTCACGTCAGAAGCTGTGCAGCAGTGCAGTAGAATAGGGCCTGGCAAATCCTTCGCCGGCGAAGCGCCTTTTGTGCTGGGACTGTGGCTCGCAATCGACACCTCGTTGCTTTCCAAGGCTGGATTGCCTATTGATCTTCCTCCTCCTTTGCCTCCCCAGGCTCGCGGGGCCGGACATTGTGGGTGTGCGTGCTGGATTTCTCCCGGATGCTCTCCGACTAACATGGATGTCCCACCATCCCTTGCAGTGGAAGATTGCTCCTTGGCGCAGTGAGTGAGGAACATGCAGCGATTGCTAATGGGTTTGGGAAGCGGAGACTCCTTCCTCTCTCTGTGACCATGCCGTGATCGTGTCTGCGGCCACCACTCGACGCATCCTCATTTCTGCCCGAACCGGGAGTCTAACGTTAGATCGGGGAAGTGGGTGCCGCGCGTGTGGGCACAGAAACACCATGAAGATTATTTCTCCGATTCTAAGTAATCCAGTCTTCAGGAGCACCATTAAACTCCTGCTCTGTTTACTGTGGATTGGATATTCTCAAGGAACCACACATGTATTAAGATTTGGTAAGATTCCCCATCCCTTTCCATTGCCTGGTATCCGGCTCCAAGGCAGCCGGATGTAAATAGGCAAGTTCCTCTGCCTGGCGGTGGGCTCAGAGCATTCAGACCTGCTCACTGCTCCGTCGCCTCCTGCGGTTTTAAAGAACCCTCTGTGCTTTCATTTATTTTCCTCCTCTTCATTTTTATTTTTAGCAGCGGGAGGGTGAGGGAGGGCCAGTGTGTGGTAGTGGTCGCTGTGTTACCTCCCACGATAGCCTGCCACAGAGATGGTAACAGAGCTGGGGGCACAACCAGCCTGTCTCCTCCTGAGCCTTTTGGGCTTGGAGGGGTGCGTGGTCCGAGCGAAAGTGCGCGCTGGGGCTACACGCCTCTCAGTTTGCTGGGCTAAGTTAATATTTGGTAACTCTTTGGCAAGTTGCGCCTGTCAGCTACCGACTGCCCCGGACCAGGGCAGGTCCTCTCACAAATGAAAGGCACTAACCCTTTTGATGTCTTTTGCCAGAGAGCCTTTTCGGTTCGGTTAATTTTACCACTTTTCACCTTCTTGGTCTTCTGCTGGGATGCGGAGATTTTAAAAAATATTCCTGCAAGATTCAAGGTTCTCCTTAACACAGAGAGGCTGTTACTCAGCCAGAACGAAATAGCGTCATAATAAGAATGGCTTTTTGTTTGTTTTTGTTTTTAACTTGCTGAGTTCCTCCTCTAACAGCTTTCTGGTCATTATGGACTAATAAATGAAAGGCAGTAATTGCGGTCCTGAGGGGAGAGGGTAGATGTGTATGGGGGGGTCTAAGTCTGCATCTTTATTTCATTCTGGCAAGATAAAAGACCCTAGGTAGTTACAGCTATGAGAATTTATTGCTTTCCTAAGAGTCAGGGTTTCCTTGGAGCTTCAAGGAAAATCTAAACGTGGGACTCCAGTGGAAACCCTGGTCAGAAGGTTTGCTTGGGAAAAAAATGAACCTGGGCAATGCTCAGCTGCTCTCGATGGCCAATGGAGTTTTAGTAGGAGCAGAACTAGTCAGGGAAAGTTCCCTAAAGTAGATAAGAGGGAGAGAGGGGAAAGCCAACGGGGTAAACGCTCACATCGTAGGCACTTTGAAAGTTCAAATGCATTCAGACCAAAGTGTGCAGGAAGCCATATAATCCTGGTTAAGTCACACAGTCAAAATTAAATTGAAGAGTGATTGCTTGGGTCTCCTATCATGCCAACGGCATTTTATGTCTGTCCACTTTCCCATATTTTTTTTTCACCATAAAATTCACCATCTCTCCCAGGCATTGTAGAATCAAAGTAGGAATATTTTCACATATATTTAAAAAGGGAACCTCACCCCTCATACACACACATAGACACCTGGAGTCAAGAAGTCTGGTAATGACTAAAGAGACAATGGACTATAGCTGGATTCCTACTGTAGTAGTTTTCCTGCCTTTTTCATGCCTTTAGATGGTACTTAGCACGTTGCTCTTAGCAACAAGCATCCACAGGAATGCATGTTTCTTTGGACAGGATTAAACAGGTCCCTATAATCACTGGAAATTTGTGTGTGTGTGTGTGTGTGTGTGTGTGTGTGTGTAACAGTTCTGCTTCAAGCATAGTAAGTGCTACAGTATGTAGTTTTGCCCAATGTTTTGAGTATTACAACCTACTTATGTGGAATTCTGATATGTTTGTGAATGAGTGTGTATTACTAAGTGTGTTTGCAGACTGGGTGGATAAAAAGAAGACTTGAAGCCGGAAAACTCCCACCAATACTCTAAAGATTTAATTATTGTCGCTCTGGTCTTGCAGCATAATATTTGCTGAATCATTAGATTGTTACATTTGCTGATCATTTCATATCTTCATATTAAAAATCTTGGCGACTGTAGCAGAGTGTGTAATAGCTTTCCAAAAGAGCTGACACACACACACAAAGTACATTTTCTTAGACCAACGTTTACTAAGAATGTCCTTAAGAAATAGGATACTAGACGAAGACCTCCATACCAGTCCCGAATACCCTGAACCAACTGCCCAGTTTCTAGATAACCTGTTATTTTCTATGTTAACTTCAAACATTTTCCACGTGGAGATCCATTTTCTCTAATTTCTGACCTGAGTTGTGGGGAAGGACTGTGTACATTGTAATCATTGGAACCTTTCCCTGTTGGGACTATTCTGACACAATGGTGGGAGTTTTATTTTCTTCTGGGGTAAACATGTTCTGGGTAGATTGGATGGTTGGTTGAGCCACTCTTGAGAATGGTTATTTTCAACTTTGGCTCAAAAGTCGAACCAGTGCCTCATCCCTGGCCCTGTGCCTTGGAAGGGAAGGAGCTGGAGCTGTTGGTGGATCTGCTGCCCCGGGTGCTGGAGAGACCTGCCGCCTCTGCTGCTGGAGGCAGCATCTAGTGCCCCTCCCATCCCCCACTCCAGGCGCGGCTCGGGCTTCAAGCCGCGCGGCGCCTCCGCCGCGGCGCTATGGCAACCGCGGAGCCTGGCCTGGCGGCCACCCCAGCCCCCTTCCCCGCTAGTGGAAGCTGTGTGCTGTCCTTCGTCTTGCTCCCGCTAGGACTGCGACTCCACCCTGCGTCTTCCTATCCGCGTCAGTGAAGCAAGTGGCAGCCCCGGCTGAGGGTGCTGACCCCTCTGCAGTGTCTCCTGTTTCCCCGCTCGTCTTCTGAGTGCACAACCCTCCCGCTCCCCAACTCCCTACCCTTCTCTCTCACACACACATGCGAGCGGGCAAATGAGCTTTCGCAAAGCAAGTCTCAGACTTTGGCACAGAGATTCTTCTCTAATGCACAAGAAAACTTTGCAGTTGCACCCAGGGTGCTTCTGTCCTCTTCCTCCCTCCCCCAGCCTCTGCAGCCGCTCCGCAGATACCGCCAAGAAAACGTGTCGGGAGCACAGACCCCAGGGCGCTGTCCTGAGGCTTTATGGCAGCTTAGGGCAGTGGGGTAAGCGACCTGAGGGTCAGCCCAGGGTCGGCTCCAGGCAGGCAGGCGGGCGGGCGAGCGCCTCATGGTAAGTCTTGGCGGTTTCCTCGCCTGAGATCCTAGGTCGTCATAACTTTGCTTTATCCTGAGTGCCCACCTAGGGGCATGTTTTCTGGGGGCAAAGTGCATCTTAAAGAGTCAGTTCCTCCGCCCCAGGTCAAGTCAGATGTTCTCCAGCCCGCTTTTCTGGGCGCAGAGCCAGCGAGGCTCCCCCAGGCAGGCCTCTCCTGAGCGCTGGCGCTTCGGGCACAGCGCCTCCCAGATTATCCCCGCGCGTCCCAGCGCTATGTAAATGAGGCACCTTTGTTTCTCTGCAGCTGCGTCCTGGGCCTGCTGGCCGCTGGAGTGGGCGAAGGCGGGATCCTTCCGTCCGCGGGGGTGTGGCCCCATTCCATGGTCTCCCAACCAAACTGCTCTGGCGGCGGCGCTTGAACATTTCTTTTGTTACTTTAGCCAATCCTTCTCTTCTGGGCATGTTCTAACCCCGGTTCCTGAGCAAGTGCGAGGAAGCTTAGAAGCTGGCTCAGGCAGTGGGCACGGCTGGTCTCCTGCTCTCAGTCTGGGGACTTTGGCATGTTTAAGCATCTTCTTTCAGAAATCACTCCCTAGACCACTACTTCTTTCCGATCATCAAGGTCAGGTTGTTATTTAAAGTCTTTATCTGAATTGAAATTTAGGACGCCAGGAGCAAAGATACCAACTCAAACTTTCTCTTAAACTCGTGAGCATCTTCTCCAAGATAGTTCTTTCCGAGGAGCTGAGCGTACGGTGCGTCACTTCTTCCCTTCTGATATTTCGACCTAATGCCTCTCTTGAGCAAGCGGCTTTCTTAAAAGGTTTCCCAGTCAAAGTCTTCCCTCCCAGACGCGCTCGGATCTCCTTGGCACTGCACACTGGCCACCCGTCCATGGCACAGTGTGCAGTCACCTCCCTGCACACACGCCAAAGGTGAATGCAGCCTGCTCAGGGACGGCCCACAAGATAAAATCTACAACGTGAGAGAACAGAAAGCGTTCCTATGGAAATCCCCCTCTCTTTCTGGGCACCCCATGTGCTCACAGATATAATAATTAGTAGCAGATGTACTGCAACACCAAAGAGTGTGAGTGAATTGACTGAGTTTAGAAGCTGCCACTCTACAAATTCTTTGAAAGAGATTTTTCTTCCTTTGGGAGGTGAGGTGGGCGGGCGGGAGGAGTGCCCTTACATCTGGAAGCAGGAAAACTGACTCTTGGGAGGCGGGGATGGGGGAGTAATAAAGGCTACTGTCTACAACAGATAAAACCCAAGCACCTACTCAGCTGAGCTCTGGAAAGCAAGGGAGGGAACTCTTTCTAAGAACCGTCAACACAACGGCCACACTTTAAGAAAAAAATCAGTTTTTTACATAAGTTCTCACTTATTCTTAAATCTTAAAAGAATAGCTTGATGTGATCCGTCAACGGAGGCACAATCATTTCAGAAAATGACTTTGAAAAATGATCTTTTCTTTTTCTAGAAATAGCACTCTTTTCTCCACCAGACACGTGAAACTCGACACATTTTCTGACTTTGTGAGGTTGGCTTTCAGAAGTGAGCATGGGTTTACATGTCAGTAGACATTTCTTCAGATGAGTTTTGCTTTTTGGTTTAATGCAGGTGATCATTGCAGTGTGTTCATTCCCTGAAATCTCAACTGACACTGTTTCAACATTTACTCAGCACAGGGAAGTTAATGTGAATTGCTCTCACACAAAGGGAGGAAAATATCACAGATCAAACTGGGGTGTATTATTGATTATCAGAGTCTTTTCAGGTTTGCTCACCATTAGATAAAGTGTTGTCCATAATAATGATGACATAATCTTTTGTGCCAATTAGTTATCATAATTTTTGATAAAGAAAATGCTTTGCTCTTTTGTGGTACGAATTTAACATTCAAGTGAGAGAAATCACTTTCTCCTTCAGTTCTTAGGATTTTACTATGTTATGGTAACCTCAATGATACTTATTCGCTGGAAATTGTCAATGTCTATTTT